GCTCAGTCAGCCCCACCCAAAGTTATTTTGAGTATGTAGAATCGAAAGATATCGCTTCTCGTAACCAGTGTCGGGTCCTCTCAGGAGTACACACCCTATTGCTCATGCTTACATGAGTAGAGATGCAATTAGCAAATCCCTAATGTGCATGCAACTAGAGACTAGCCTGCTCCAAAACCTACTCTAGTATCTCATTATTTGGACCAATAATAATAAAAATAATCCTTACATTTCATATAGCACCTTATCGCGTCTTCCAAAGCGCTTCCTAGAATATACCGTAAAGTGAATTGACTGTAAATTTTGTGGTGAAACGCAACAGCCAATTGTGCACAGCAGTATCCCGCAAACAGTCGTGGATTGAGTCATTTTTATTATTATTTATTATTATTATTTTTTGTGAAGGAATTATTACCCCCGGAAAAGCGATCCGCCAATCAACTAACAACCGGGTTCCTACTTCCTGCCAGGTAAACAGAGGCGTGTGGAGTAAGGAAACTTGTCCAACATTTCACCCTGCCGAGAATCGAACCCAGGTCTCTCTCTTGCAGTGACCCACACACCATGTTAACACCTGCAAACAGTGTTTTACGAGCTTGGTTTTCAATTCCAAAGGAATATTTTTTTAAAAAACAGTTGTACCACTTGAGTGAAAGGGCATCGTCACGACAATGATCTCTCACTTAGAGAAATGGAACAGTAGCCAAGGAGAGAGAGCTTCAAATAGAAGCATCGCTGAAGTTCCCCAAGGCTGATGGCTTAGTCTGTAGAGCGGAATCCAAAGTATCGCTGTGACATAAAACAACTGCGCACTCGTAAACGCGTCCATTCACAGTACTTTACAAATTATGAATCGTGACTTGACTTTTCTGCTCTCAGACCTTCACCTCTCTCTGGGGGAAGGTTGATAGAGGGCAGCGATGCCAAAAGCGCATTACTGGCCTTGGCAGATGGAACCGATAGTTCTACCCGCAAGTGGCCAGCGAATCCAGAAAGACCATTTAAACCATGGCCGCAACTGCTCTCGACTCCGTGGGCAAGTTAACAGTCTACTCCTGCCAGATATTGTCTCAAATAAATAACGCTTTTGTTTAAAAATGTTTAAGTTCCTTGATTACTGAAAAGGAATAATGTTTTGTTATATAATATACTGTTTGAATACTGAGAAGGGAGTTTCTCTTGGTATCCCGGCCAACAAGCCTCCAGATATATTGGCTGTTCACTTTGTGGCTGTTGTGGGTCTCTATTCTGTGCACATTTGGCTGTATGTTTGCTACAAAAAGGCCAGGAATTCCACGTGAAACTTGGGGAGATGTTTTGAATGTTAAAGGCGCAACATCGGATTTAAGGATTAATATATACTAATTATTCATATTTAAAGAGCTCATCACGCTGCAGATATTACATCAACCCAATGCGATTTACCAGCTTAAGGACAAGCAATGGAACAAGATGTGCTGCTGAGGTTGCACAGAGCTTCTGCTTCAACAATAACTACAAGTGAGGCATTGGAATCTTCCACACAATGTATCACACACTGTATCATGAGTTTTAGCAAAATACCTGCTCAGTGCTGTGCGATATTGAGTATAACTACTCTGTTCGCTCAACTCACTAGCATTGGTGTTACTTTGGCCTCTGAAGTACAACTGAGTACACATCCAAGAGCCAGTGTATCCAACATGAGGTTGGCTGATTCTGTTAACAAACTCTATTTGCATTCAGTGTACTGCAAGGTCAACAACATTGTCCGCAAGATCAAATTAGAATAAGATGTTGTAAAACTCATCTAACCATCTCATGACCTGCCTCCCAAACATCTGGCTACAATCAGGTTTCACACCCTTCTGTTTCAGCAACCACTCTGGTGACCAACGTTTAACCTCTTATTTCCTGCTTTACGATCACTGCGAACTTTGCCAAGCATGCTGAAATAGGGAGAATGGGCCTTTTCAAAGGAGATCAGCGCTACCTTTACGCAGAATGAATTGGTGAGGACACCAGCACACGTGCCAATACAAATCATCACATCACCCAACATAAACTCTGTTGCATTAAACATGGCAGAATGTTTGATAAGAATCATTGTGTAAAAAGTCGAAGCAGTGGCTAAAATTGTCAACACCCCACTCCGCCCCCATCAATACAGTGTTTGTGTCAGAGTTCTGCACATGGCTTGTATAATCCAGGTATTTAATGTAGGTTTTCTTTTAAAAGAGACGGGGATTTAAACATCAATTTGCCTGATATCCGTAATATGAAGAATGCTCAACATGACTTAAAGGATACAGTCAGGGAAAATCAACATGATTTTAATAGCAATAGGTCATGCTACAAAAATCTGCTGAAATTCTCCAAGGTGGTGACTACATTTGGTAACAGGGATATTGAATTGATATAATACATTTGGATTTTTGTATGACAATTCACAAGATTTCAGTCTTGGTTTTCCCCCTTTTCCCCTCTTCTGAAGGATGTGAGTCATGTTGAGGTACAGTTCCACAGCCGCCACATCCCCTCCAGGACCTCACTACTGTCATTGTTCATGTGTGAGCATTGACAGTAAGTGTCAGCAGGCTGTTTGACTGGGGGCGAGGGGTAAACCAGAGCTTAATCCTGTTCTTATCTCACATCCACACATGCACACTTTCCCGCATTGTTTCTATACAGTGTTGAGGAGCAGAAAGTCTGGTTTTCTCCTTCCTGGCCATTTATTTCCAATAGGTTGAAAGCCTAAATTGTGCTGTGGATGATCAGAACGTTCAATAATAATAATATCAATAATCCTTGCATTTGATATAGCGTCTCATCACATCTTCGAGGCATCTCAAAGCGCTTCACAGAATATCAATATACACTCACACACACATATGTAAATAGATTGGAATTTGCTTTTCTAAGTAATTTCTATATGTCTAATGTACTGAGCCACAATTCCATCAGTTTAAACTGACAGAAGTCCTGTAGCTTAGTGGTACAGAGTCCTGCAGCTCAGTGGTTAGAGCATTCGCTTTGCAAGTTAGAGACCTGAGTTCAATTCCAGGCAGGGCGAAACCTTGGGCAAGTTTCCTTACTCCACACGCCTAATAATAATCCCTCCAAAACCCAAAACAATAATAAATTGGTCATTTTCAATCTATGACTGTTTGTGGGACATTGCTGTGCGCAATTGGCTGCCGCGTTCGCCCACAAATATACAGTCAATTCACTTTACAGTGTGTTCTGTGAAGCGCTTTGGGACGTCCTCCCGACGTGAAAAGCGCTATATCAAATGCAAGGATTATTATTATTATTATTATCAAGTTAATTCACTGTATATATTGTGGGTGAAAATAAATAAAATTAAAATGAATAAAATAAAACATTGCTTGAGTGAAGAACAAGGAACCTGAAGCCCAATTAATTTAAACTGGAGAATTTCTGATTCTCCGAAATTAATGGGTAAAGTCTCACTTTGAATTGAATTCATGCTTCTCTCCTGGTCACAGCATTCAGTTTTCAGGTTTAATAAACTACCAAATAGTTTCAAAACACTGAATAAAACACAGCTTCATCAAACTCTTGCTGTAGCTTTGCATCACAGCACAAACATCCATTAATACAATCATACGGCATAAAAATATTGAACATGCAGTCTCACACTATTCGCACTGCACCATTATTAAATATTTATTTAATCACATTGTCCAGACAGTGTATGGATTATGTAGCAACATAATTTGGCGAATTTATGATTTTGTAATAAGTGACTTGTTTTATAAATGAAAATAATGTAAGCAAAAATGACACTTTTGAAGTTTCTGTGAGACCACGTGTGTATATTTTTGTGGATGAAACTAGAAAGAAATATCCTTACTGTAATCTCAGCATATTTTCAGTCTCTTTGGTGAACAACAATAACAACAACTTGCATTTATACAGCACCCTTCATGCGAGCCAGCATCTCAGAGCACTTAACCTCTGTGCTCATCAAGGTAATGGACACAAACACCAATGATATCAGCAATGAGCACCACCAGGTCATGACCAGAGTAAAGCACCCTCTATTCTGGGTGCTTAACACAGAGAATTAGTTGAGGTAGGCCACTTGCTACTCTGCTCAGTTTGTTCCTTTTTTTTAACTTCTCCCTGTGCACTAAGAAATACCTGCAGTGAAATTAACCATGGTTTTACATGTAGCTTTTAATTCCACATTCATAATGAAAGTTAAAATTATCCTGCAGCCATTTCGAAGCACACTGGGACAAATTTGCAAACCTTATCAGTGGTGGTAAGATAGCAGTTAGTGAGAATCGACAAATTCGCTTTCTGAATCACACAGGACAGAATGACCCACTTGAACCTTTGATTGAATCAAACTCCGAAGAACATCCCCACTGTATCATGGTGACAAATTCCATTTCAGACAATCTGTGAGGTGTCACTGAGTGAGATTACCAATCAGGAGCAATTCTGTATTGTGGGCCTATACCAACTAGGAAGTAACCTGAATATGCCCAGACTTGTTCCATATATAATAGTGATCACTGACAGACCGAGGAGAAGATCTGTAAACTTCAGGTCCCAGAAAACATTGACCAACTATCCAGTCCTCTCGTGCAATTTCAACCTTTACACTTATTAAAAGCCGAACATTACATATAGAACTAAATGAAAGCATTGTTAGGGTGAAATTTGTGCTATTTAAGGAATCCTGCTAGAATTTCCATCAACCCAACTTTGCTCCAGAAATACATCATTGCAAACAGAATTTTCACTATAGGTGAGATGCATTTCCAGTTACAGGAAAATACCCCCCACACACACACACATTTATGTGCATCGGTTCATTATTAAGGACTATAGTTAAGAAATACTGCAAGTTAAACCCGAATTAAAAGAAATGGACGATAGCTTATGAATATTGATTTTAGCACAGTTGCCCGGGTTAAATCAATACGACGCGGTGATAAGTATTTATCAGTGCCCGCTTGATCCAGGAAAGGTAAACAAGATCTAACCTTATAGACTTGACCGTACGTTCCATTACCGACCACTTCAACTAAATCGAAAATACCAGCGGGATCCTGAAGATAGGAAATTGCCATTAAGAAATAATGAAACAATGTGTTAATTCACATTTCATAACAAAGACCCCCCGCCCCCCCCCACACACACACATCCCCATATGGTAAACAACCCACCCCCCACCCGCCCCACAAACATACATCAAAAGCAAACAAGTCCCTTTAAATTCAGTGTTAATACACTTCCTAATGCCATGTGGTTGAACCTTAGCTGCAAATATTGGCGTCCTTGACCTCATTACAACTGCGCCTCTAAAAACATTAACCTAACTATTTCTTCCTTGCGGCAACTTTCGCTCGAATTGTTTTTTTGGTTGGCTAAATATTGTGAAGCGTTTAATAATTTGACCACTTGACCCTTAAGAATTAAGGCTGAGATTAGACCCTCTACCGGCTTAAAAATGCATCTCGCTTGGGAAAGAGTTTGAGAGTGTACATTGTAGAGAAGTAAGTAGTAAGTAAGTAAGTAAGTAAGTTAAGTAAACTTCTGGTCTGCTCTCTCTGGACAAGGCTATTGCCATCCTGTGCCTGTACTTTATTGTAGATAGACCAACTCTCTCTCTCTCTCTCTCTACCATTCACTGGCTCAAAATCCTGACCCATTCACAACTGTTCAGCCACTGCAGCTGCTAAGATTTCACTGTAAGAGAGAGACAGAGAGAGAGAGAGAGAGAGAAAAAAAAACCACCACCAGAAACTTTTACGAATTCGAGACACAAAACCAGTCAGCATCGAGTTTCCAGACTACCCTAAAAATAACTGTCCAACAGTATATACTGACTGCACTGTGCAAACTAGAAATGCTCGTCTGGGTCAAAGAAAAAAAAAGACAACTCACCCGCAAACAAGAAAGATCAATCTTGTCCAAACTTTTAGTCGGAAAGTCTTTTGCCATCTTTTAGTGTTTGTGTTGTGTTGTGTGAGTCTGAGTGAGTGAGTGAGTGAGAGAGAGTGAGTGAGTGAGTGAGTGAAGCCACTTTTTTTTTCTATGATGATTATGTATAAAAGAAATGTGGCTTCAAATTCCAAACGACTTGAAAATCTTCTTTCTTTTTTTCTCCTTAAAAAAAAACTAGTTAAAGAGATTTGGGATCATGGCTGGTGCTGTCATCAGGGGAGAGGGAGAGAGAGAGAGAGAGGGAGAGGGAGAGAGGGAGGAGGAGGAGAAGGAGAGGGAGTCTGTGAGTAAGTAAGTAAGTAAGTAAGTGAGTAAGTAAGTGAGTGAGTTGACTTGCTTATCGACTCATGTTAAGTGGCTGAGATCTCAGCTGCTCACAAACACAGGAAGCACCACATCCACAGTCAGAGGAAATGATCGAGAGAGTCTCTCTCTCTTTTACTCACTTGGGGGCAGAAGAAATCTTCCTTGGGGTTTTTTTTAAAAAAAAATTTCATTCACCAGAAAAAAAAAGGGGGAAGACAGACAACAAACATTGCACCCCCCCACCACCACCCCCCCCACCACCCCCTCTCCCCCACCCCAAACCAGAGAAGAGAGGAACCTACAATAGAATCAACTTGCATCAGAGTTTGAGTGGTAAGGATGCGATGCTGGTGATGATGCTGATGTCGGGAGGAGGGGGTGAGGGGAGGGATACAGAGAACGCAGCAAAGTTTCACAACAAAAGTTACACCAACTCAGGGAGTTAATGCAACAGACGCAGTGAAAGAAACTCACCCAGGACGTGATCCCTGTGTGTGTTTGTGTGTGTTTGTGTGTATATATATATATATTCGGTTTTGCATCTGCCGGGGGGGGGGGATGGATGCTGGTTATTTTCGGGGGTGCAATTCATCACTACCGTCCCGGGCAAAGCTGGGAGTGATTTGCTTTGCATTGCATTGCATTGCGAGGTTGACCTGGGTGGGCACACAGAAGTGACAGAGATCACGCTACGTGGCTTCCTCTGCTCGCAGTCGCTTTAGGAAACAGCGAGGCTGAGTGTCGAGGCGCTTCCACTGCAGCAAAAAAAAGATGAGTGGCGCTGTATCTCAACGTTTGGGGTGATTTACTAAGGTCTGGGGGTGACACACACACACACACACACAAGGTCTGGATGTGCCCCTCATTTGGAAGCGATTGGCACAAAGGACTGGAGCTTAAAAGAAGCAGTGAGTCTGGGATGGAAGAGAGTGTTCAGGTGATTGAGGCTCCCAAGTGATGGGGGATGGAGGTTGACCGTGAAAGGCGAGTGGTACCCACGAGAAGCTATTGGGAGAAGCAGAAAGAACATGAACACGATGATGGGAGGGTGAGAGCAGAGAGGCTGATCAGTTAAAAATGAAGTGAAAGAAGGCTGAGAAGGAAGGGCCAATGTGTTAAAAATACCTCTAAGGAGAAAAATAAGGAGATTAGAACAGGCAGAACTGAATTAAGGAGAGCATCTCGAATCGGGGAAAGTAAACCTACGGTGCATCGAAGCGAGAGTGAAACAGATGCAGAAAACCTTTCATTTTTAGCCTGAAAAGTTATAAAAGAGAAAGCGGGAGCCACAGTAAGGAATAAGGAAAGGACAGTACAGTTAGTAAAAGTGCAGAAAGTAAGATCTTCGAAAGAAAGTTGGAAATAAATCTATGCACGAGAACAGAAATAAACTCCCCCCCCACCCACCCCCCCACTCCCGGGTCATTGAGAAGAAAAGGGAAACTAATAATGGCCATTTGGAGGCAATATTAACAAATGGAATAAAAACAAACACAAATGACGAATGGGAGAGGACCATGAGCTTAACGGATAATAATAATCCTTGCATTTGATAGAGTGCCTTATCACGTCTTTGAGACACCTCAGAGCACTTAAATGAAGGGATAAGTGAACAGAGCGTAAAATGTCTGCACTTGAAAAGTAGATGGATGTCATTTTCAGAGAACAAAACTATAAAGGAAACTGCAAGGGAGCAAAGAGCAAGTTTAAAAAGGGCAAAGGCTGAAAACATCCTTTGGCATCAAAGAACCTCACAATTTAAAGGCATATCAATGGAAAACATAGTGTTCTAAAAGAAGCAACAAAAAAACATGTACAAATATTTGGAATGGATCATGCCCATACAACACTGTTGGCGTCCTCCCAGCCTGGACTAGTTGAACTGAAACTTTATCAGTCATTTGATCAGTAGCTGAACAGATACACTAAAGATTTGTGCCAAAAGCCTAGACACTCAGATTCATTTTTTAAACAAAATAGGGCGAAGCTTTTCCTCTCACCTTTTGTGCTGACCGGTACACGTGCCTTGTAAGGGTCAACATTCAGTTCATGGATGCCCAGTGATCACCTTAAACAACCATCTTTTTAACAGAAGATTAATCTGCTACACCGCAACTCCCTCCTCCATTATCTTGTGTGTGCGCGTATAAGGCCTATTCCCGTATAGAAAGTTAACACTGACCTAAAGTTCCTATCTCGGAGAAGACGGCGGTTTTAAACTTGGGCTCTTTACCACCTGCTTTATCTGGATATTATTTTCATTACTTTGTGTGCCTCAAGCCGAGGCCTCACTCGTCCAATTCACAGTGAACACTCAATTGTAGCAAAGGGCAGACAGATGCTATTCTGTATTGACACTTCCACATTATCAACGGGCTGAGGCCTGCTTCACGTCCCCTGCCTTCCTCACTCCACTATTGGTGGGCAGGCCTTCCGACACTCTGCACCCACCCTCTGGAACTCCATCCCGCAGTCCCTCTGTCTCGCCCCCTCCCTCGCCACCTTCAAAACTCACTTCAAGATCCTCCTCTTAGATCGTGCTTTCGATCTCCCTACTTCCCCCTCACCCTCCCCCACCCTGACCCTCAGCTCGGGTCCGAAACTCTGTCTGTCCAGCACCTTGGGACGTCCTCCCAACGTGAAAGGCCCAATATAAATGTAATTTTTTTGTTGTTGTTATCCAGGTAATCAGTCTGCAGCATTGATATAATAATAAATAATCCTTGCATTTGATATAGCGCCTTATCACATCTTCCACACATCTCACAGCGCTTCGCAGAATATACTGTAATGTGAATTGACTGTATTTTGTGGGCAAAACACGCAGCCAATTGCACACAGCAGTCATATGCACACTGCCCCAAATAGCTTTCATTATCCTCGATATTGTTGTTCGCATCAGAAGGTGGTGACAGATGTGAGGTGAGAGAACGGGGGAATGAAGTTCTGCAAAACGAAGTTGATCCAGGATGTTACTGGCTGAAAGATCTTTCGGAAAAAAACTGAACCAGGAAGCCGAAGAGGTTACTGAGAAGTTGGAAACATTTTGAGTGAACCATCAGGCCATAAAGGAGAAGCTGAAGTTAGCTGGTTTCAGTTTTACTTTTAATAAAACTGGTTACAAATATAAGTATTTATTGGACATCTGGTGTTTGCTGATACAACTGTGTTTGATTCATTAAACCTAGAAATTGAGGGAATAATGATTGAACTGCTGCAATGTAGCATGTGGAGACAGCAGTTTTCAATTTTCAGACACATCAGGTGGTTGGACACAGACAAGCTACCAGTTACATGGTAACAAATGTGTATGTAACTCAGCTTTCTGTCAGAACCTAAAGCCACAATGCACTTCAGGAGCATGTTAAGCGTAGATCATGGTGACATTCTGATCCCACATTTCTGTGAGACAGAGGAGGGTCAGACAACTTTTTGGTGACTGACAAAATGCCTCACAGGATCACAAGATGAGCTCGGATGAAGAAAGCCCTTCAGACGATCTGACTTCATCCGTCCAGATTATCCCGGAGACCTGTCCTCCCATCATATCCCATTAAGTGAGTCCAGTGTCCTGGCCTCAACCACCTTTCCTCACAACTTGTTCCAGTCATAAATTACCCTCAGGGTATAGAAGAGCTTCCTGATGTCTGTCCTGAAATTGCCCTTTGCAACTCTATCTTTATCTGCTTCTTCTGCAGAACAATTATTCTATCACCAACGTTCTGCCATTCTCTCCTTAAGGTTTCACACATTTTTCTTCCCGCTACTAAACATTGCTCCATGAGGATCTTTGGTGCCCAGTGGAATATTGCTTGGGCATTCAGATGTACACAATTCTTACATTAATTCAACGTAACATTTCTGTCCCATATAAACCTTTATATAGCCTACATATCCTTTTGAGTTGATTGGGTACAGATTTCAAGATGCTTCAGTGGGAAGAGCTTTGTGCTGTGTGATACCTGCAATAGATCCTGACTCACTGCACTGATGAAGACATAGGAGAAAGGCATTCAAGCCAGGAATGGAAGCTGCATGGTAAAATAACCGCAGCTGTTCACTTTCATTCCAGTTAAGGTTGAGCCAGATTGAGGTGCGATTGAATAGCTGTAGGAATTTTCACTAGCTTCGCATCCACTTTGTGAAGTGACCCAAAAGAGGCATCATTACCCTTGTAAATGTCTTAAGCAACACCTGCACATCGGTCGCTAAACACTCATCGTTTAGTTAATATTATTTTGGTCAACAAGTGAATAGCACCAGTTTTTCCAGGCTCCCTCCACCCTCCCCCCACCCAGTTAAATGATGACAATCACCCTTTCAATAGCAAAGACTGTGGACTGCATTATAAATTCCAGCTCTGGACTACTCAAATACCACAAAAGTATTTTGAAAGACTACGAAATGGGGTATGTTTGTAGCTTGTCTTATTTTTCTTGACAGAGTTTGTCTCGTGTAATTGGTATGTAATATTTGTGGAATATAAATTAATTTCTAATTTGCCATTATTCTTGGCACGTGCGTATCATATCAGTGAATGTAAGCAAAAAAAAAGAATTGTCAATCAACGGGAAATCATTCAAGTGGGACACCTTCAAATTATCAGCTGCGTGAGTAATGCACTCAACACTCAAAGTCCTGTGGTTGAGGGGTTTTCTGTGGTAAATTTGAAGCTAGGGGGTTTAAGCAACAACAACAACAAATTGCATTTGTACAGTGTCTTTCAGGTT